GATTTTCACCCTTTTAACATACAATGCTTCCAAGGCACGGTTCATTCATATCAGGTGGAGTAAATTCCTTACTTTTGCCAGTATTTAAGGGGTTCTTTGCCACACTCGTTCCTTGCTACACTCTTATTCCAAAAATGTCTTCATATCCCCAAAATGATTTGAATTTGAATATTGCTCCCCGAGAGCAAATATTGTTAGCAGCAAGATCAGACAGTGGTGCTGTTAATGACTCTCTAGTTGCTAGCATGCAGTGTGCTGCATCAATTACCAATTTGGGACAACGGTTGTTGGCCAGATCCCAAGAAGTTCAAGCACTGAGATCTCAAGTTATAACACTATGGAGAATACTTAGTGATGCTGATCAGAAAATCAGAAGACTTGAGAAAAGCAATAAAGATTTTGGAGGAACTGGTGTCTGTGTTGTATATTTCTGAAGAACCTGAGGGACACACAAGTTCTTCAGTTGAAGCCCAAATTCGGGGCACTAAACTCTTGCTACAACATTGTTTAATTTTTCCTCCATTGATATAACCAGTGTAAAATTTCAAGTTCTATAAATATCAAATGGACATATTAATGAACTCCATGTTCATAATATTGACAATGAATTACTGTCATAAATTCAAAGCTTTAGGTTCGAACATGTAGATTTACCCATGAATTAATGCTTGTGCTTTGAACTCCAGGTTCACACTTACGTAAATGCACTCAAAACTTTCTAGTTTGAGGATTTATGAAATATTGAGATCCATGAGCTTTCGGCCCATGTCATATTTCATACCAAAATATGGGGATTTTTAATTCATCATGTGAGGTGTCGATTGTGACAAAATCGATATTTGCTAAATTCATCAATTTCTTATACCAAAGAAACATGTGGTATGCCATTTCTTGCAATAATACCTCAAGGCTTATCCAATTATTGTTAGAACTTTTAAGTTCTTTAACACTGTTTAGATTCTGAGCTTTAGGCCAAAATCATAAATGGACATTCTTGGAACTTCATGTTCACATTTCAGGGCCCTTTCATAATTATCCATGTTTTGAGGAAATTATGGCATCTCATTTAATTGCTTATCCATGAGTTTAAGGAACTGCAGGTTCTTTTTTGTATATAGTGATGGTTTATCCAAAATGGTTACTATTCATGCATACGTCACTATTCATGTATATAGTACTATTCATCAATTCATGAATACGATTTTTGTTCATGCATACAGTACGTTTGCCAGTACAGTTATCATTCATGTGTACGGCACCATTCACGTATACAATTACTATTCATAATACATTTGCCAATACATCTAATATTCATGTGTACGGCATTTTTCACATATACGATACTGTTACATTATTAAGGAACTTCAAGTCCTTATTTACATGTCAAGATCAAGGATTTTTCAAGTCCGATCACTTATTTACAAATAGAGTACCATAGAGATTGCTAGCTCTCATATCTTTATCATCATCAAGGATCTTTCAAGTCCTGATGTAGTTGTATGATGAGGATCAAGGAACTTCTGGTCCTGATCTCTCTGTATGCAGTAAAACTCATCATATCACATAATTAATTCATAAAATAAATTAGTATAAATTAATTGTAAATAAATTGCTAGTATGGATGATAAACCTTCTCCACACTTTAAATAAAAGTAGATGTGCAGTAAAATAAATTCATAAAGTAAATTGCTCGTTGTATGGACGTTAATTCCGCACCATACTTTAAATAAAAGTAAATGTGCGATAAAATAAATGTGCTTGTATAGGTATTAATTCTACTCTATACTTTAAATAAAAGTAAATGAGCAATAAAATAAATATGGGGGATAATAAAACCATGCCACTTAAAAATAAATATGGGGTATAAAACCACGCCACTAAAAAAGTAAATGTGGGGGATAAAACCACGCCACTTAAAAACAAATGTGGGGATAAAAAACCACTCCACTAAAAATAAATAGGAGGTTAAACCATCCATAATAAAAATGAACATATAACTGTAAGGTGAGATTAGGCATGGGCGCGGATCGGTTTGGAACGGTAGAGGGCTCTTCCGTTAACCAAACCAAAGACTTCGGTAGACCATTTTCTCTTCCGTTAACCAAACCAAAGACTTCGGTAAACTTCGGATCGGTTAACCTAACATTCGGTTCGGAACGGGTCGGTACGCCGGTAGTACCGTAATAAAAACATACTAATAAAAATACAATTTATAATACTTTCACATAACATAAGTTCTTGAACAAATACACCAAATTATCCTTTTAAAATATAAAAATCTAATAACCTAATTCATCCAAGTATGAAATCAAACAACTTAGTCACTATATCATTCAATATGTACTCAAGATGTATTGGGAGCCACTTGTGTTTGTTGTTTGAACTTTTGAGTGTTCTTTTTATTGAATTCTCTACATTTATGTAAATGATTTTGACATTTGTTTTGCGTTGGGTTCTTTATTTTTTTCATGCTGAATCCAACCATATAAAGAACATAAAATTTGGATCAACAGTTAGAAAGTTATAGGTGAAAAACGGGACAAAGGTCGAAACTGGAAAACATAGGAAGTTCATCAATTCCTCTCTGACCAAAAAGTGCTACAGTACCCGGATAAGTGATACAATGGTGATAAAGCAGTGATACAATGGTGATAAAGTAGTGATACAATGGTGATAAAGAAGTGATACAGTAGTGATAAAAGAGTGATACAAAATGCTGATTGTATTTACCTTTGGTTTCTTGTTTTGTATTTAAATAATAAAAGAAGTATAAATATCGGATCGGTAGGGGTTTCCGTCGAGTTAGGAATTTTGTTTCCGTTAACCAAACCAAACATTTCGGTACGGATCAGATCGGAATAATTAAAATTAAAAAATAATTATTTAACCAAACCGTCGGTACGGTACGGTCGGTATGCGGATAATTCGAATGAGATGCCCACCCCTAGGTGAGATAACCAATTAATATTTGATATTAAATAGTCTCCATGATTCAGGTTACCCAAACATATATACTTTAGTGAACCATAAAACTATATATAATAGCGGCCGGGCACGAGAAGAATAGCGGCCGGGCTTCTCAACTACGAAGTTGGGCCGAATGGAGCTGGGCACGGATGAAATTAGGCTCTTGGAATTGCGGCCGAGCTTGAAGCTCTGGGGGTCTTGAAAAGTTATGGCCAAGGCTAGGAGAGTTTGGGCAGCTAGGCTACACGTTGGTACGGCCGGGTTATGGAAGAATAGCGGGCGAGATTCCTAGCGGGCGGAATTCCTAGCGGGCGAGAATTCCTAGCGGCCGAAATTTCTAGCGGCCGAGATTTCCTAGTGGGCGGAATTCCTAGCGGGCAAGAATTCCTAGCGGGCGAGAATTTCTAGCGGCCGAGATTTCTAGCGGCCGAAGTACTTTCTCAAAAAGGTGGCCAAGGTCTTTTCTTCAAAGGCCATGGTGCCTTCTCAAAAATGCGGCCGATGTGTTTTCTTCAAAGGCCATGGTGCCTTCTCAAAAATGCTGCCGATGTGTTTTCTTCAAAGACCATGGTGCCTTCTCAAAAATATGGTCGGGCACTTCCCTTTGCAAAAGTGGTCGGGCACTCCTTAAATACCTTGGTCGGCCACTCCTCTTACAAAAAGCTGGGCTAGGGTGAATTTTCTCCTTGCTCACCCCGGCACCCTCCTCTCAACACTTGGACAAGCAAAGTCGGGCCAAGGGAGTTGAAGTTCGGCGGGAGGTATGTCCGCTGAGTGCCCAATATTCGAATATTTGAGAACTCAAATATAGTCCAATGTAGGGCCAAGCCCAACATCCAAATATTTGGAGTTCCCATACCACCCATCTTGGCGAATGGTCGACGGATGGTAAGCCAACTCTAGAATTCTAAAAAATCAAGGGGCACAAGGTTCCACCAAATGTCAAGATGAAATCTCAAAGGTCAAGGCCCAAGCCACGGATTCACGCCCAAGATTTCCGGAGGTCAGTGTGCATGTGATGGAGGCCTCACAAGGAAACAAATCAAGGAGATTGATGATAATTCATAATATTCCAAAACAAGAGAGAATCAAGCAATCAGAATATTTCAACCAATGTAATCCCACGGATTCAATGGGCCTCAAAAGGAAAGATTTTTAAAAGAGTTGACATTTGGCCATTCAATGGCCAGCCCATGGGCTGACGGAAGCCCTATATAAACCTCCCCAGATGAAGACAGAAGACACACAACATCAGACAGACAAACCTATCTTTCATCTCGCACTTTTCTTTTCCTAGACTTAGGATTTTATTTTCAAGCACCTAGTGTAGCGAGTTCTTCCTTTTCCTAGTGTAAGTTTCGATTCTTGTTCAATTTATATTTTCGTGTCATTTAGATTCAAGTTTATTTCCATTGCTTTGCTCTTCATTGTTATCGCACTTCAATTAAGTTCAATTTCAAGTCTATTTTATTTTATCGTTCTTATTGTTCTTATCGCTTTTATTTTCATTCTCGCTTTATTTATCTCTTTAATTTATTTTATCGCACTTCAATTCTTGTCTTTACGTTTATACGCACATTTAGTTTAATTGCGTTATTTTTACTTAAAACCCTAAAAATCATAAAAACATCCGTACGAAACCTAACCATCCTCGAGCCCGAGGAAGTGAAAGAACCTAGGCCAAGAGGAGGTTCCTTGCTTGGCCGATCAATCGTTTGATCAGAAGTTAGAAGTGCAGCACATCCATCTACTCACATTCCATTCAAGCCCAAATTCGGGGCTTGGTGGTGGTACGCCCCGCATCCAAAAGAAGAAGGACCAAAAACTCCTTCAATCGGCCTACCCGGCCGAAAAGAGGGAAACACCATCTCTAATGGCAATTTCAACACAGGTTTCTCATTCTTATCAATATGATCAGCACTTAACTCCTGATGACGTTGTCGTACAAGTGCCCTACTTAACCGTGTTATAAAGTCGGTTAAAGAATTATTTTTGGAAACATATCTCTTGAAGAATGCATGGCAACTTTCTACTCATTGGCTACTTGTCATTCCGGCTGAAAAAACATGATTCACATATGCAGGAACCCAACTTGAACGAATTTCATATAATGACCGTAACCACTCATTATCTTGTGACTCACTTTTTTCCACAATCTTCATCAACTTTGAGTCAAACTCTTCAGTGCTTTCTGATTCCCATATGCATTTTCTAAAATCTTCAAAATAATCTCTATATTTGACCCCACCTAACCTTTCTGAGAATTTAGATATGTGCCAACTGCAATACCTGTGAGTTATATTTGGAAAAGCTTGTACAATGGCTTTTGTCATTGCTGGATCTTGATCAGTAATAATCATTTTAGGGGAACCTCCAGGCATGGCTTTCTTAAATTGCTCAAATAGCCAAAGAAAAGAATTAGTTGTCTCATCACTTAGGAATGAACAAGCAAACACTGTTGTTTGACCATGATTATTGACCCCTACAAATGGTGCAAATATCATACCATACCGATTAGTGTTATAAGTACTATCAAACACAACCACATCTCCAAAAAACATGTACGCCTTCCTTGATTTTGTGTCAACCCAAAAACAATGAGTAATTCTGTCTTCTTCATCTGCCTCAATCTTAAAAGTGAAGGACAGATTCTTTTCGTGCTCTAGCTGGAAATGCTCATACAACATATCTGCATCATGTCCCTTCAACCCATTACGCAAATTCCTTTCATTATTATAAATATCCTTCTCTAGACATCCAACATTTTCTATCCCCCCAACTTGCATTTCAAGAAGGCTAAATTGTTGATGTGTAGGTATATTTGCTGCTGAAAATAGTTGGGTTATACACTTATGAGAATTTGAAACTGTACGATGAGACCTTAACAAGTGTACTCTTTTAGGACTTGTTAATGGGTGGTTGTGACCCTCCACAAATAGGCTGACTACATAGGTTCCCGATTTTGACTTCACCACAGCTAGCTTTTCCTTACAACCCTTACAACCCTCTCGAGTAATACCTCTATGCCTTTTTTTCTCACCAACTCCTTTAGCGGGCACTCCTTCTTTAGAACACACATACTCCTTTCGTAGGATTTCATTAGTTTCTTTATTCTTCCTACTATAATTGATTCTGACACTGAAACCAGCTTCCTTGGCATAATTATTGTAGAACTCATGAGCATCATCTAATGACTCAAATCCTTGGACTGATTTTGGCTTGTGGTCATCTCTTAGTTGCGGTATGTAGATTTTGTCACACGAATCTGAATATGAATTTAATCTATATTGTCCAACCCCTTCAGAATGACCATCTAATTCTTGGGCCATGTAATCCATCTTCATGATACGATTACAGTGAAAACAATAATAATAAGAATCATAAAAACCATAGAATAATATTTCTAAAAGAAGAAACAAAGAAAATAAATGAACAATTGTTTGCTGTATAATGAAAAACGTTGGTCAAGAAATCATGACAGACAAATTAGTATACGAGTCCAAAAAAACATAGAAATCATTATGGTCAAGATATTAAATATTATAATCCGAGTTTTTTTTTTTAAAAAAAAGCACTTACTTGAACTTTGAAGTTGGAAGAATCAGTTGAGTTGTAAGGTTATGGTATTGATGTGATGGGGCTGTCAATGTCAAAAAGATGTTGAGAAGATCTTTCTGAGACGATGGAGGCGTTGAACAATTAATTAAAGTAAACCTCTTGGGCTGCCCTAAGCTGCCCACCTTTTCAATTTTATAAAGAAGAGAGAGAAGGGAAAGTGTGAGGCAATCGAGAGAAAGAAGGAGAGAGAAAGGTATGATAAGTTTGATATAATATTAAATTAGTTCAATAATCATTAAAGTGTGGTTTTAAGTTTTGTCAATTAATACATATCAAATCTGCAGAACCATTGGATTGATCTGACGTTTCACCTTTAGTGTCCGCATTTTAATTAAAATCCGGTCATCCTAATGTGAGCAAAACTGTATATAAGTATATATATATCTAAACTATATAACATATTATATAGTGGTATATTGCCTTAACCCATAAAGTTTGACGTAGGCCTTATATAAAGTAGGCTAAATTATTGAAATGCCCCCTGTAACTCAATTTCAGTCTCAATTACCCCCCTGAAACTCTAAGTGTCTCACTTTCCCCCCTGAAACTCCATGTAGTGTCTCACTTTGCCTGGATTCCATCCAACCTAACAGAAATCGTTAAAACTTGCACACCTGAAGCCCATGTGCCATTTCTCTGGGTTCTTCTGTACTTGTAGGTTTGGAAGTGCCAAAAAGGCAGGACCCACAACAGATGTAACACATCGACCATATCTTCAATTAGGGTAAAATCTTCGCACAAGGAGAGATATTTTGGATGAATTCAAAATCTGAGTAAAGCAATAGAATCTTCAACAGTGAAGGTGTAAACTGAATTTGACAATGACAGAAGCAGGAGGACCTTCAGCTTTCACAGGTAAGTAGACCTTCAGATTCTTTATTTATTCTTGGCCTTGGGTTTGAATCTGACTATTAGACTTTGTATTATTGTATTTGGCTTTGAACTTTAAGAAATATTAGAATGGGTGTTGTCCAAGTAGTGATTCTTTATTTATTCTTAGCCTGGGTTCGAATCTGACTATTAGGCTTTGTTTGTATTATTGTATTTGGCTTTGAACTTTAAGGAATATTAAAATGGCTGTTGTCCAAGTAGTGATGAGTACATTACTTTATTAAGTTAGGTACTCTCATAAAGATGATGCTTTTCATTTGACTTTGTGGCTTTTTACTGCTGCAAATGATTGGTTGGTAGAGTAAATTCAGGTTTTATGCTCTATTTTGTGTTGTAGATGTAGAATCAAATTGGACAGGTGAGGAAGAAGAACAAACTAGCAGCGAGAGTGATGAGGATTTGGATGAAGACCCAGATTTTGTAGACCTTGCCTATGCACAAAGTGTGGACGATGTCAGATTGTTGAGGGATGGTGATAATCTGTTTCAGGGATATGTAGACCAAGATGCAATTGACATAGACCCTAATGCAGGTGAAGAGGATGAGGAGTTAGATAATAACCCTGCTTCACCTAGGATGTGTACACCAGAGCGCTCTTCTTCTGAGTCTGAGGTTGTGACTGGAAACTGCTTGAGAAAGAGGAAGCTCCCTAACTTTAAAGACTTCATCCCATCCGTCAATATGAAAAATCCTCGATTTGAGCTCGGTTTAAGATTTCCTAGTCGTGAAATCTTTAGGGCAGCTGTGAGGAGGCATTATGTCCTAATTGGCAGAGAGCTTAAGTTTAAGGTGAATGATGGCACTAGGATTCGAGTAATTTGTGATGAGAAGTGTCCATTTCACCTATATGCATCATCTGTGCATGGAAGCAAGCATGTTCAAGTGAAAACCTATGTTGGGAAACATACTTGTGGGCAAGGGAATGCAAATATTCATGCCAATGCAAAGTATTTTTCAAACTGGTATGAAAGCAATTTAACAAATCCTAACTGGGATGTGGGATCTTTTCAAGAGAAGGTGAACCAAGAAACTGGTTATTATCCTTCTAGGGCACAAGCTTATAGGGCAAGAAGCTTGGCAACCAGCAATATTGAGGGGAGTTATACCGAACAATATGAACTTTTATGGGATTATTGTGAGGAGCTGAAAAGGACAAATCCTGGTAGTTCAATGGTGGTAAAGTCTGAGTTAGAGGGTGATATGCCAAGATTTCAGAGGGTTTACATTTGCTTGCAAGCTTGTAAGCAAGGGTTCTTGGATGGTTGTAGGCCTTATATAGGGTTGGATGGTTGCCACATCAAAGGCCCTCACCCTGACCAATTGTTATGTGCTGTAGGAGTTGATGCAAATAATGGGATGTTCCCATTGGCATATGCTATGGCTGAAGTTGAGAGTTACAATACTTGGAAGTGGTTTTTGGAGCTATTAAGTCATGATTTGAAGATAGAGAACAACCACGGCTATTTGTTTATGACTGACAAACAAAAGGGATTAATTGATGCTGTGGATAATTTATTCCCAAATGCTGAGCATAGGTGTTGTTTGAAGCATTTATATGCAAATTTCTCGAAGGAACATAAAGGATTGGCCCTACACCTACAAATGGAATCAATAGCAAGGGCCACTACACTGCCATGGTTTGTTGAGGAAATGAAGAAGATGTTAGAGTTAGATACAGCTGCACATGCTTGGTTATGTGAGAGGGATGCAAGTCAATGGGCTAGATCCCATTTTAGAACTGACTTTAAGTGTGACATTTTGATGAATAACTTAAGTGAGGCTTTTAACTCATCTATAATGCCTGCAAGGAACAAGCCTGTGTTGATTGCATTGGAAAGGATTAGAATGTATTTAATGATCTTAATGGCTTCAAGGAGAGTAGCCGTGGATAACTGGCATGGTCAAGTTGGGCCTAGAATACAAGGGGTATTGGAGGTAAATAAGGCAGCTGGGCAGTGGTGCATTCCAAGGCATGCAGGGCAAAATAAATTCCAAGTGATAGATTTGAATGCCCATAAATGTTCTTTTGTATTGTGTTACAAATGAACTTTTCCTGCATAAGCTTATGCTTGTATAGATGATGCATATTTTTTGTTAGTTAAGATGACCTTGAAAACAGATCTAGAGACCTTGCGAGATGGGAAAATCCTAGAACATCAGATACGACGGTTTTTTCAGAAAAAGTGTCGTCTTTACATTTAAATAGACGACGGTTTTTTCAGAAAAAGTGTCGTCTTTACATTTAAATAGACGACGGTTTTTTCAGAAAAAGTGTCGTCTTTACATTTAAATAGACGACGGTTTTTTCAGAAAAAGTGTCGTCTTTACATTTAAATAGACGACGGTTTTTTCAGAAAAAGTGTCGTCTTTACATTTAAATAGACGACGGTTTTTTCAGAAAAAGTGTCGTCTTTACATTTAAATAGACGACGGTTTTTTCAGAAAAAGTGTCGTCTTTACATTTAAATAGACGACGGTTTTTTCAGAAAAAGTGTCGTCTTTACATTTAAATAGACGACGGTTTTTTCAGAAAAAGTGTCGTCTTTACATTTAAATAGACGACGGTTTTTTCAGAAAAAGTGTCGTCTTTACATTTAAATAGACGACGGTTTTTTCAGAAAAAGTGTCATCTTTACATTTAAATAGATGACGGTTTTTTCAGAAAAAGTGTCGTCTTTACATTAAATAGACGATGGTTTTTTCAGAAAAAGTGTCGTCTTTACATTTAAATAGACGACGGTTTTTTCAGAAAAAGTGTCGTCTTTACATTTAAATAGACGACGGTTTTTTCAGAAAAAGTGTCGTCTTTACATTAAATAGACGACGGTTTTTTCAGAAAAAAGTGTCGTCTTTATATTTAATAGACGACGGTTCTATAAAAAAAAAGTGTCATCTTTACATTCAATAACGACGGTTTTTTCAGAAAAAGTGTCGTCTTTACATGTAATAGACGACGGTTCTTTTAAAAACCGTCGTTTTTACATATAATAGACGACGGGGAATTCCCGTCGTAGTTTGACTTTCAAAAAGATGACTGTCGATTTAACGACGGTTTGAAAAAGAAAAAGACGACGGCGTTTCCCCGTCGTCTATTTCAATTTTTGTAGTAGTGTTTTGTGTTTTTGATGTGGAATTGTAAGCCTTTTGAAATAGATTTGATGTACAATTAGCTACAATTGGGTTTTTGATGTTGACATGGTCTTTTCTTGTCGAATTAGAATGTGTAAACTGATGTTCACAATAGAAATGTACTTAATGAATTAAGCCTATGTTGGCATCAAGTTTATTTGTCAAGTAAATTGAGCCAGTGGTGATTTTTTAGTTTCAGAATTCATTTACCTATTTGTTTAGTTTGCTCAGTATCTCAAAGTATAGTCAGTTGATACAAAAAAAAAAAAGGAAAGAAAAAAGTAAGACCACTTTACAGAGAAACATTAAACAACAACAAAAAGTATGACAATATTCAAATACCATTGGATTAACCATTCTAAAAAGCACCCGATTACATAACACACAAATGCCATTGTGCTCAACCATTCCCAAAACACTTGCAGATTACAAACCTACCTCCTCCCCTTTGTTACAGTTAAGATTACTAAACCTACAACTCTAAACCTAAAGATGATTATCCCTTAAACCAGAAACCATCATGGAAATCAACATTATCCAAGAAAGAAACAGAAATCCCCACAACAATTTCTCTCTACTTCGAAGCTTGGCTAGATCTTGTTCCAATCTTCCCCTATTCTTCAGCAACCCAGGTATTATATCCTTTGAACGAGAACACATCTGTGGATCAAACCACTCAAAGAAGCAACAACCTTTGTTCCTTCCC